CAAGTAAGAGAAAAAAACTTTTTCTCTTACTTGTGTTTTTGTTCAGTGATGTGTGGTTGCTGGGTGAGTATTTGCTTTAGGTTGCGGGGTTGTCTGTACTCTCACAGATCTTGGGAGACAGACCTGTCCTCGCTTACAGACAACCCCCCAACCTAAAGCAAATACTCACCAGCAACCACACATCACTGAACAAAAACACAAGTAAGAGTAAAAAGATTTTTTCTCTTACTTAATTGGCCTCTCAGGGTTGGTGCCATAAGACAGAGAGAGTTTCTCTTCATGCCCAGCAGAGTTCCACAGGAGAGGGGATCTTCTCCTACAGAGATCTTAACTCTGCATAAGAATTCAGGCAGATTTGTTCTTGCACTGAAATCTGTCTACAGAAGTTCTTATGGGTCACGTCAAATCCTGCCGAGTTGAATGCAGTGCAGTGAATGAAGTGAATTCATGCAGTGAATGAAAATTGTTACATTCAGCAGTTTACGTGAAAGGAATTGATTAATACGATTCAGCTACTAGCTGAGAAGTATTTAAATCACAACAACTATCCTCTTAATTGACTTGTTTGGAGTCTCAGGAAGTCCAAGTACATAATTTTGATCCCAGGAGCAGATCAAATTTGTATTAGTATCATACCTCACAGTACTGTATACACTGATAGAATAAAAACACCGGATGTTATTAAAACATCATGAGGCCAGATTTTTAGAAGTCGGCCTTGTTTTTGCAATTTAGGTTATTTAGAGGCTGAAGTAGCAGATTGCATTACAAATAATTGTGAAAGCAAAATAGTATCCATAAAAACAGGCCTCATGAAGCTCAGGCTGAACATTTATCCTACTAGTTGTAGCAATGCATAATTGGAGCTATTTTGGCTTTTTAAACTTTTTTTTTAAGTTAACCCTCAACCCAAGTCTCAAATATTGTTGGCCCAAAATTCTGAGTGCAGTTAAATTGTTCTCACAATTGGACCCAACCCTCTGATTTATGGGTGCAGTCAGTTAAGTCGTATAAAGGTGGTCAATTCATATTGCTCACTGCTGGAAATCAAAACATAACTGCATTGTGCTAGTACAGGAAAACAAAATAGTGAAACTTACATGACTTATTGCATTATCCATGGAAATATAGAAGGTAAACCCAAAGCATTCTGGGCTGATTCAAAACCCCATTACTAGTAATAATATGGGTAAGAACTCCATGCACTCCATGCATCTGAAGAAGTGGGTTTTTTTAACCCACGAAAGCTTATGCCCAAATAAATCTGTTAGTCTTTAAGGTGCCACCAGATCCTTGTTGTTTTTATGGGTAAGAACTGGTTTTAAATATTCTCCATTCCATTAAACCACTTTTACATTGGTGCAACTCCACAGAAAATGTTGACACACAAAATGTTCCATTCAATAGAGTTAACACTATCATGTTTTTGTGGACATTATTTTGCACTCAGTTATTTGTGGATGCAGTCTGCTATTTAGGTATCTAAATGACCTAAATTACAAAAACAAGGCCAACTTCTAAAATATTTGGCCTCATAATGTTTTAACACCATGTTTTATTATGTAAAACTGTAATAACAAAGTGCAGAATTAGGCTCATAATAATTTTCATCTTGACATTGTCCATTTGAAGTGGGTTTTAATTCTTGTTTAATTGGCAATTGCTGAAGTTATGGGAAATATCTTGGTCTTCTATAAAATACACTAATAATAAAAAAATCCTGACAAATATTGTTGTATTATTGTTTGTTCTAGTACGGACCAGTGTTCACCGTGTACATTCTAGGAAATCGATTCACCTTTGTGACGGAGACAGAGGATGTTCTTGAATTTCTGAAGTCTAAAGAAGCAGATTTGGATGAAGCGGTGCAGCAAGCCGTCCAACGCACAGGTACAGGATATTCTCTTATGTAGACCTCAAATCAAGTCACATATCAAGATTAAGAAGCTTATTTGGATCCAAGGTCACAAACTTTGGGAGAAGAATCCAGTACACAGAAATACTGGGCTAGATCCTTGGCTGATGTAACTTGGCATATCTCCATTGGCTTCTAACCCATTATTTTAGTAGTTCCCAAAACCTCAGTCAAGGCCTCATGGGGTACATCTATACAGCGATAAAAAACCTGCAGCACTGAGTCTCAAAGCCCAGGTCAGCTGACTCAGGCTCACAGGGCTATAAAACAGCAGTGTAGACATTTGGGCTTGGGCTGGAGCCCAGACTCTGAGACATTTTTAGATGTAGATGTTCTATAGCCTTGCGAGCCCAAGTCTGCTGACCTGTAGCCAGCTGCAGCCATGCCATGGGTCTTTTATTGCAGTGTAGACGTAACTTTGATGTTAGATGTTGAAAAACGGAGGAAATAGTTTGCCAATGAGCTTTGTTCTGGTCCTCTACATGGAGTTGATATAACCTTTTGAGCACTCCTTATAGAATCATTGAAATGTAGGGAGCCTCAAAAGGTCATTTAGTCTATCCTCCCATGCTGAGGCAGGACCAAATATACCTAGGCCATCATTGACAAGTGTTTGTCTAACCTGTTCTTAAAAACCTTAAACAATGGGGACGCCACGATCTCTCTTGGCAATCTATCCCAGTACTTTATTAATCTTATAGCTAAAAAGATGTCCCTAATATCTAACCTAAATTTCCCTTGCTGCAGATTAAGCCTATTACTTCTTGTTCTATCTTCAGTGGACCTGGAGAACAATTGATCACCTTCTCTTTATAACAGCTGTTAACATATTTGAAGACTGTTATCAGGTCCCCTCAAGTCATGTTTTCTCAGGACGGAACATGCTCAGGTTTTTTTATCCTTTCCTTGTAGGTCAGGGTTACCTTGTAGGTAGACTCTAATTTGTCCATATTTTTCTTAAAGTGTGGCACCCAAAACTGGATACAATACTCCAGCTAAGGCCTCACCAGAGCTTAGTAGAGCAGGACAGTTACCTCCTGTGTCTTACATAGGACACTCCTGTTAATACACTGCAGAATGACATTAGCTTTTTTTGCAACTGCATCAAGTTGTTGGCTCATATTTAATTTGTGATCCACTATAACCCCCAGATCCTTTTCTGCAGTATTACCATCCAGCCAGTTATTCCTCATTTTGTATTTGTGCATTTGAGTTTTCCTTTTTAAATGTAGTACTGTGCACTTGTCTTTATTGAATTTCATCTTGCTCATTTCAGAGATATTCTCCAATTTGTCAAGGTCATTTTGAATTCTAATTCTGTCCTCCAAAGTGCTTGCAGCCCCTCCCAGCTTTGTGTCATCCACAAATTTTATAAGCATACTTTCTATTCCATTATCCAATTCAACAAAATTCTGCTTTGGTGGGTGGGTGGGGAATTAACTTGCTGGCTTCCAAAAAATGTTGTATATTTTCTATTTAAGTTTCAATCTCCAAAGAAAGCTTTCATCAGAACCGTAGCATGTTCTTCAAATTGATGGTACAACAACTGAGTTCCTCTAACCTGCATCAGTTCTCTGAGGCTCTGTGTAAAGAATTCAGCGAGCACGTGGAGCATTTGGGCAAAGAAGGAACTGAGGATCTCTGTGACCTAGTAAGGTTCGTAGATTTACAATCCAGCTTTATTGCGCAGATATCCAGTATGTTTATTAAACACGTAGATATTTATTTATTGTAGGTGAAATTCATCTCTGTGTTGAGGGTCAGCACAAAAATCTATGTGTCACCGAAGTCCCACCTAAGACTGATTTTGGGAGCTTAATGGGGACTGATGTGATGCAAGGCCGTCTGGAGCCAATTTCACCCTGAATGAATTGTGAGCCAGAATGGAATCTAGCTCACTTTCCCATGGCAGTGTTGGTTCTGCAGGGCTTACAGGAGTAAAAAGTTGTTAATGTATTTCAAGTCAGCAGATCTGATTCTATTATAGTCAAGTATCAGATCTGCCAAGTGAGAAGGTTCCATTTTACATAGTCACTTTTCTCACCAGAGTCACTCTTAAATACTCTTATATTGCTAACCAAAGAGATTACATTCTTGCCTTAAAAAGCGCTTGAATGAATGACTTTTAACCTTCTGTTTTCACAGGCATATCATGTATCCATCAGTAATGAAAACCCTGTTTGGGAAAAGATTCTGTCCAACAACTGAGGAGTTTGAAAGGCATTTTCAGAATTATGATGAAGGATTTGAAGTCGGGTCCCAGATGCCAGAATTTTTTTTAAGGTGAGTTTTATGCTTCATAAATTGTTCCTTAAGATGCATTTAAAATCCATTTCCATTTATTATCTCCCCCTCTCACAGGAACTGGTCTAAATCCAAAACTTGGTTACTTAACGTATTTGAAGGGATTGCAACAGACATAAAGAAAGACAAATCTTCAGAAAGTGGCTCTAAGGTAAACCTACCAAAGGATTTTTTTAATAAAATGCCAGGGTAGCATTGGTATAGTTAGGGGCTAAGTTATGGACATGGGCCAAGGTTTTTAAAAATGACTAGTGCTTTTGGGTGCCTCCATTTTAGGGTGCTCAAGTTGAGACACATTTGTAAGACCCAAAGGTCTGAAAACTTAAAAGGATAGAATTCTCTGCTACCTCTATAGGACAAAAGTCAGCTCTGATCAGCTTCAATTACGTGAATTTAATGTTGCTTGCCCATAATTCCACCTACCAAGTTTTGTTGCTTTGGTTGGAATTTCTGTATGATTTGATTATTATTCCTGTACTCATGAAAGGGAGTGAGAATTGTGCAGGATATGCCCTGGAGTGAGTGGTCTCTCTGATTTAATAAATAGCACCCTTTGGAATGGTAACAAAACTCAAGCCGAACAGGAGGGAGCGGGAAAGGGCTCTATCCTCAGACCGGGATCTGTTAAATAATAGGACTTTTTTCTTCAATAAACGAATGTGATAATCCTGTAGACAGAGTATGTTAGCAAACCATTCCTTTAGACAACCTCTAACGTACATATTCATTCTCTTGTTTATGAGAGACGCTAATACAGCATGTCCTGGACAATTTGCAAGGAAATGGAGCGTCCAGTTATTTGCTGCTCTTGTTCTGGGCTTCCCAAGTTAATGCTGTTTCAGTAAGTATACTAGTTGAGAAATGCCTTCTTGCATCTCTGATTTGTTGGGAAAAGACAGGAAAAAATAAGGGTCAACATCTGACAGATTTATTAAGGAGTGAAAAAGCTTGTAATGTGTTCACTCGACAGAGAGATTGAGGGCTTGTCTACATGAAAAATGCTACAGCAGCGCTGCTGTAGTGTTTCAGTGTAAACACTACCTACACTGATAGGAGGGATTTTCCTGTCGGGGCAGGTAATACACCTCCCCGAGAGGTGATAACTAGGTCAATGGAAGAATTCTTCTGTCAACCTAGTGCTGTCTCCCCAGGGCCTTAGGTCGGCTTAACTACACCACTCAGGGTTATGGATTTTTCACACCCATGAGTGATGTAGTTATGCTGACCTAATTTTCTAGTGTAGACCAGGCATCAGCAACTGATATAAAGGAATTCAAATTCAGTATTGATAAGGAAAGGAAATATTTTTTCCCAAAATGTATTTCTTCCTGGCACCTTCCACATTCGACAGCCAGTAACAGGCACAAAGAAATAAAGGCTGGCAGGCAGTTTGTGCACAGGAAACTCAGGACTTCTCCAACTTCCCCTGGTAGAGCAGGGTCTAACTGGCTCACAGGCAACAGGGAAATCTCCCAGGAGATCCCTGGTCCCCAGCCAGACACAGCTGCAACAGAAAATCTATGCGCTGTGAAGGCAAGAACTGACTCTTTACTATTGCTAAGAGACAGGCCAGTGCTCTTGGCACTCTTCCCCCCACCTTTTGATGGTGCTAACACTGCTGAAGACATGGGCGGCCGGTGAACTGACTACTGGGGGAGGCTAGCTCCTGGCCCCTCCCCTTCTGCCCAAGGCCCCAACCCTTACCATCCTCTTCTGCCCCATCTCCCTTGCAGGAGCCCAGAGCACCCCCTGCGCCAGGCCGCCCCCAGCCCTGAAGCTCTGGCCAGGCCCCCAACCCCAGCCCCAGAATGCAGGGCAGGCGGCGCAGCCCCAGCCCCACTTACCCCGAGTCCTGGTGGCACGCCAGCCACCACAGCCCTAGTCAGTCCGGGGTACGGAAGAGCAGGAACCAGGAAGGAACTTCAGGAAGGGGCCTAGGGATGGAGTGTGGGCGGAGCCACACCAGGCTGTTTGGGAAGGCACAGCCTCCCCCAGCCTATGATACCTGCCACCCATGGCTGAAGAGCACTGCATAATGCATTGTCAGTGCTGATACCAAGGAAGGGAGGATGCTGCTGACATCTCACAATTTTTCTACCACATCAGAGGTTGCTCCACAGGCCACGAACTTGAAAATCTCGTTCCGCATCTTATGCGGAATGCCTCACACAGCATAGGGTTACCATACGTCCGGATTTTCCCGGACATGTCCGGCTTTTTGGTCATCAAATCCCCGTCCGGGGGGAAATTCAATAAAGCCGGACATGTCCGGAAAAATAGGGAGGGGTCGTGGGGCTTGGATCCGCGCTGGGGCCGGAGCCGGAGCCGCTGGGGCCGGCTGTGCTCGGCCGCCGCCGCTCGGCCGGGGCCGGGGCCGGTGCTGGGGCCGCTGCCGGACGAGCTGGTGCCCCGGGGCCCGATCCAAGCTGGAGTCACCGGGGCCGGAGCTGCTCGGCCGGTGCCCTGGGGCCAGAGCCGCTCGGCTGGGGCCGGTGCCCATGCCCCAGGGCCCGAGCCAAGCTGGAGCCACCGGGGCCAGGGCGGGCTGGAGCCGCTCGGCCGGGGCCAGTGCGCTCGGCTGGAACCAGGGACGGTGCCCTGGGGTCCAAGCCGAGCCGGGCTGGAGCCGCCGGGGCTGAAGCCGCTCGGCCGGAACTGGTGCCCGTGTCCCAGGGCCCAAGCCGAGCTGGAGTCGCCGGGGTGGGCTGGAGCCGCTTGGCCAGGGCCAGCGCGCTCGGCCG